TTTTAAGAAATGATTAGAATTGTGTTAATGATGGGTGAGTCTCACGATGTCTATTTAGACTTGTAAAAGAAAAAATAATTTATGGGACTCATCATGATTATGAAATCTTTAAACAATATATAAGATAATTTTTTTAATAATTATAATAATTGTGGCCCTTTATAATTTCTTTCAATCCTTTTTTTTGGAAAAAAAGTTGAAAATTACTATGCATGAGTCCCTTATGTTGAATTAAGATGATATCTTTTTTAATATTAAAATAATTAATTTATGGAATTTGTCATCATTATGAAAATTTTAAAATATTTAAATTAGTAAGGCTCTATAGGTTTCGAACCTGCGACCTTCGATGCTCTAATCAACTATATTTATATTGTGAATTGTATTATACTGAGTGATTATATGAGAAAATTGTTGATTATAAAATTTAATAAATATCTGTGTCCTTTTTGTTCTCTTGTCAGATTAATACTGAGGTTCACAAACATTCTATTATATATTTATTTATCTATTTGGTTGTTCAATGATTTGAAAATTTTAAATTTTGTGAGGTATTTTATTTGTTGAAACTATTTGGGGGGAGAAAAAGAACACGATTTTTTAAAAATTTGATTTCTCCCGCTCTTCTTTTACCCCTTGCTGATGAGAGAGAGCCCACCGCTTGCTTGTCTTAGGAGGGTCGACCACACTACAACCTAACCTAATAGAGTCGTCTCGCTTGGATGGGGGGAGGGGGGGATGCGCCTTGCTTTCCTTTCTTCCAACCTAATTTTTCATTTCATTTCATTTCATTTGTCTTTCTCGACCGGCACCGACTGTGTCCTCACCCATTCCATTTTTCATTACCTTCACTTTCTTTCCTCGACCAGTAGCGATTGCATCTTACGATCGGTTCTTCTAAAGCAGTACCGATCGTATCCTAACTTCCACTCGCAGCGTCACTGTTGACTTCACTGCTGCTTCCAATTCATACCGTCGTTTGACTTTTCTGATTCTTCCATTTTTTATATGATTTCTTGATGAACGCTTACGAGGGTCAAAAAGGAATGTGTTTAGGGCAACCATTTACACCTTCGAGGGATTCAATTTGGCAATAATGGCAAGTTCACAATGCGGATTCAGATCTCTCTTCTTTCTCAGTCACAACCTTTTCCCATCCATAGTTCTACTAATGACTTGTGTGATTAGCACAATGCTTTGTTTTGGCTCAGACTTCTTTTTTTTACATGGCAGTCAGTAAGTCATCTACATACATGCAAAAAAAAATTTGTTCACCGTGTCCGATAACAACACAAAGAACTCGAACCATTCATATCCCAAGGTTGTCATAGGTAAATTGGTCGATGCATGTATGCATATCCGCGTCGTCTTTCCCTTGTCAAATGTGGATAAATCCATCACAATTGATTGCTTCAGCAGTTCCTGCATCCAGTAAAAACACTGGATTAAGACTATGTACAAGAGAAGTTGTTCGAATTCTGCCATGTATTATGTAATACTATATTAAGAACTCAAAATGACATCTGGTGTATCATATCAAGAGAAATTAACTAATTACCGAAACTTATAAAAAGTAAATAAACGGTGTGGCTCAGACCATGTATAGGAGATGACGTTCGAATTCTGCCGTCAGTCAGTCAGCATATTATGTAATTCTAGATTAAGAATCCAAAATGACATTTAGTGAATCATATCAACAGAAATTAACTAATTACTGAAACTTACAGAAAGTAAATAAAGAGTGTGGATCAGAAGACTATGTATAGGAGATGATGTTGGAATTCTGCCATTAGTCGGCATATTAAGTAATACTTGAATGGAAGATATAAAATTAGCATGTCAGTACAGCATGACGGTTAGAAGAAAAGAGTGGCACTCCAGTATATTCTCTGAAATTACAAAACATTATGAATCAATCATGATATATGCAACGCTGATGATCGCTTACATGAAAGGGAAAATAATAGACTTCAAAGTACCAAAGAAAAATAAAATAGAAACCTGTTCACCTCAAAAATCTGCCGTATGTATGAATATGCATAATACGACATATTATTTAGGTCAGCCACATGAACTCTGATTAAGGAAACATCACTAGTCGCACTATAACCAAATCTCATTTTATTGTTTGTAAAACACGTAAGCTTTATAATGGAGTAATACTTACAAAAACTCAAGAGAAAATTAAAAAATTATCAACTGCTGCCTTGGACTGGTTAATGGATGGTATATTTAGTATAGAGGTTAAGGGAGATGCTAAATAGTGGATGCCAACTGCAAGCCAAATCAAACAAGCAAACTTAGACTAAATCTGTGTTTGTATATTATTCAAATTCAATTTTATGATTTTTTTTTTTTTTGCTTGCATATCTGGAAGATACATAGTCCAATTCTGAGTCTGTTGTCGAAAGAAGCTTTGAAAAAAAATAGGGTAGCTGTAGCTGCATGGATAAGAAGTCATGCAAACTGGAGAATAGTACCCAGTGTAGATATTTGCAATAGGACAATTTAGTAGTTTCATGAAGCTCCACCATACACACAAAATCCGAATCAAGTCATGAAATGTCATAATAGCATGCCATCCAAATAAGTGAAAAACTCTTTGACAGATTTGTTCCTAGAAGAATCTTATGGAATGAACAGAAGAGTAACAGTGAAGTAATGATGATTAGTAAAAAGGTGGATGGTCCATCGTAAAAAACACATGCGAGGCAGGTCAATGGTTGATAAGGCAAGACATGCTATTTTGTTGTGAGCAGGACCCCATCCTCTTGTAGCCAATAGCCCAGGTAAGGCACATGACTGCAAAGAACTAATTTTTAGAGCAACCTATTGCATCAGGCTCCCATCAATTTATGCAGCCTTACTCCACGAAGCAAAGAGGTTGCTTTGTGGTTTGAATCTTAGTTACTCATATATGACCAGCAAAGAATAAATTTTATAAACATAAGTTCATATGAACATGAAGACAGAGATGAGCTATGGTAAGTTTGTATGGATCCAAAAGTGAATTCATATTGCAAGAGCTTATCAACAGTTTGCAAATCATCAACCCAAAAATGGATTGTGGTCATACGCTAAATATCCCAATATCCAACACCATTAGATTTCAAATTTTTTTATAAGTGCATACATTAATTGTTCTTGGACAAGTTGATTGAACAAAATTCTTCCTCATCAATATGGGGATACTTTATGGCATAGATCAATCTCAAAGGTTTTACTTCTCATTTCAAATCTGCATGTTTAATCAACCGTTCATAGATTATTTGTTCTTGGACAAAGTTAATTGATGGAAACTTTTAAATTCTTTTTTATTATGGGGATGCTTCATAATAAAGATTAATTTCAATCGTTTAAATTTTTTATTTCATATCTGTACATGGGACATATATATGTGTACACATTCAAATATATAAATACAAAATTAGGCATGACAAGATATAGCTCTTTGAAAGAAACCTACATCATGATAGTTCTATTCCTAATTGGTTTTCTACAACCCTGCCCACCCAACACCATGTTGTGTTGGTAAAATTTACATGATACCTTCCACTGCCACAATTCACAAGTAGGTTATAGACATCTGGCAATAAGCTCCTGTACAGCCCCCCCAATAAAACATCTCCGTTCTAATGGTAACTAGAAAAAGGGTTAAGACTTATGTTCGTGCTTGGATTTGTTAGTACAACCTTACCAGGTATACACGGATATCCCTGAGGTAACTTAATAACTCGTGTGGTTTATAACTCGGTACATGATAACTTGTGCCATTGATGAAGAGTTATCAAAAAATATCTCCATTCTTTAATAAGTAGAAAAACAATTAAGAGCTTATATCTGTGCTTGGATTCATTAGTACAATGTTATGAGGTAACTTAATAACTCGTGTCATTTATAACTCAGTGCATGATAACTTGTGTCATTGATAAAGAGTTATCATGCAGGTTATCAACTTGGGCCAAGCGTGTACCATTCCACATAGCATTGATACTTATATATCAACATCTATCAACTCCTGTGCTTGGATTCATTAATGCATGCAATAAGACATTCAAGGACATTCCTGAATGATCAGACAAAGATGATAATTTTTACAGGAAAGATGAAGTTGAATCTAAACATGAATTAATCCAAGAAAACAATTTGTAAAACTCCAATGCAATTGCTATAGCATGACAGGATTAATCAGCTTATTGTTGAGTAAATGATAGAGAATCTAGTAAGTAAACCTAAACCTATCTAAAGTTTCATTTTGGTAAAATAAATTACAGCCTAAGATCATTGAATTTATTCAAGGAGGTTCTATCTCCTTGAAGTTGATGAACCAATGAATTTAGTCAAGGAGGACAGATCTACATATCATACTATAATCTCCTTATAGATACAAACTATCATGAAACAGAACACTATAACTCTGATGAAAAGCCAGAAAATATTTGTTAACTGCATCTACTAACAATAATCTCACAAGAAATAGAACGTAAAATGCATCCGGTGCTACCACCATTAGTAGTTTCAAAAAGCTTGCAAAAGCACTCAAAGCAACTATGTAACTTATTTTCAATGATAATATAACCACAGTTTGTTTTGGTAAACAGGTCGTCTACGTACCAACCAATCACCTTGAGACCAAGAAAACTCCTGGCTTCTTCAGCTTGCTTGGAGTGTTGAGTGTTGGAGCATCGGCCGAGGTTGTTTTGGGTTTTGCCACCTTCCTGGAACTCCTATCCAGCTTAATCAAGCTGTGAGAGGCCAAGATAGCCTGTGGCATCAGATCATGTGATGCCCGAGCGTAGACACATCGCACTGCCATGGATGCCGAGTCCCTCACCTCCTGGGGATTCAAAGGTGCAAGAAGACAGTGCCCCAAGATCCTCAGCACCGGCTGCAAGAGCTCCCAAGGAAGGGGAACCCTTGACCCCCTCCTCAGAACTCTGCTCCCTTCCTCCTTCCCATTACAGTGATTGTCATTTGGTCCCTCACGGATTGCTAATTTCTGCATCTCCTCTGCAGTGCCTCCAATTTCTCTGTTTTCCTGTGAAGAGATCCTAATATGGGGCCATGAGGAGGCAGAGACTGCGGGGGAGGAAGAGAGGGCGGATGGATTCGCATCCTCATCATCGAACTCGTGGCGACAAGGGCAATCCTGGCCAGCCCATGCCGCGACGAACTCGCACAGATCAATCTTTGAGCGGCTGGGCATGGAGGAGATGTTCTTGTAGTAGGAATCAAGTGCCACGGCCACAACGCAAGCACGCTTGGTGGACTTGACGGCGATCTGGGGCTCGAGAGGAGGGGAGAGAACGCCAACGGAGGGCCGTGGCGGCGTCCGGGCGGAGGAGGCGGTGGGTTGGCGAGGGTAATGGTAGAGGGAAGGGAGGGAAAGGTCGGGGACGGAGACGAGCACCGGCTTTCCACCGCGGGCTTTGACTTCGGCGGCGTAGACGGCGAGTAGGACGGCCTCGAACCCGGCGAAGGACGGCGGGTTGATGGCGGCGGTGGTGGAGGAGACAACAACGCGGGAAAGGTACAGGCCGGAGAGGAGCGGGAGGAAAGAGAACGCAACGAGGCGGAGGTCGGGGTCAGAGGACTGGAAGGTGTCGTAGAGCCAGTGGCACAGGGGGTCGTCGCCGGTGCCGGAGGAAGGGGCAGAGAGTGCGGCGGAGATCGCGGCGGAGGCGGCGGGAGAATCGAGGAGGGAGCGGGCGGGGCCATCGGAGTCGGCGAGCAAGGCGAGGTCCGGCGAGGAGAGGAGGGAGGCTAGGGAGAGGATCCGTGACCGAGCCTTGGAGATGGATTCCCACCACGACTGGATCGCGGTCCCCCCAGGGGCGCCGCCACTGCCGCCTAGGTTAGAGCCAGAGATGCAGTCATCGTCGGGGTCCGCGGCGGCGATCGAGGCGATGGTGGTGGTGGTGGTGGTGGATGAGGAGGGGGAGCCGGCGGCGACCTGCATCGGGGGTGCGGCGGTGGGCGATTCGGTCGCTCCCCTTCGACCTTGATCGGGGTTGCACGCTGGGCCCCAAACAAAATGGTATCGATCACGTGCGCCTCGCGTGGATTGCCGACAAATTAAAGATTGAGGATTTCGTTTCTTTTATTTATTTCAGAATTTATTTATGCAGTGATCATTGATTTCTTAGTGGAAGATTATTTGTATTTGTTCACACCTTCAAAAAATGATTAGATGGTTGAACATTAAGGTTTTCTCCGCAAAGAAAATTTTGGAAATTTGATATGAATTTATTTGAAGAGAGCTAATTATAGTTAGCTATTTTTACTATTTGGATTCTTATATTTTAAAAAATTATATTAATATTCTTATAATTACGAAAGTGTAACATTTAGATCTACATCAATACCAATATAGATGTCAAGTGACGAAGGAATAATGTAGATGCTGAGTGACTGTTTTATCGCTCAACGATTGCATCAACGTTAACACATGGTGGTCACCCGCTATTGATCTGTTAAGTGAACCGCTCGATCTGAAGCTAGGATTATCGGAGCTCTTACCAATCCCCTTACTACCATGTTAATTTCAACATGGGTATGAAAAACGAGAGATGAAAGATTAATCAAATGAGTTTTGTTTATCACGATTATCGTCAATCGGGAACAAAAGCTTTGGAAAGCTAATGGGCGAGCGATTATCAATATCCTAATTGAGATGGTAAAAAAAATGTAAATCCCAAAATTCAACGTTAAGTGCATTGTCATATCCATCATGTATGCAATTATTAAGCAACTCTCATCACTCGTCGTTACTCTTCACATCTACAATATCATCTATCACCACCAACCAACGACGTCATTAGAATAAATATAAATTTTTTTTTTTAATGTTTCTATTAATAAAATCAATGACATTAGGATAAATAGATCTATATATTTTTCTTTCGTAACTAATAAAAATGTCAAGATAACTTTTCAACCTATAAGAACCCAAATAGTAAAGATAACTAACTAAAAAATATAATACATAATTAACCCATTTAAAGATTATGTAATACTGAATATTACACATTAAATGAAAGATATGAGTAGGAAAATAGTTGCTTTGATTAATCTATAATATATATATATATGTATATATATGTATATATACATACATATATGTATATATACATACATATATATATATACATATACATGCATATATATATATATATACATATGTATGTATGTATGTATGTATGTATATATATATATGGCATTGACCAAAATATACTACATTCGAACTGATAGACATTTTATCTCATGTAAAAAAAGTAGTAAATAGTAACAGATTAATATGACAGTGGATAAACTAAATACTTTGAAAACTCACATTTAACTAAACATAGGTCAGCATATCAAGCAAACTAAAAACTAATTAAAGTCAGGACTAGACTAATACCAAGAAAAAAATTCCTAAATAAGGTTTTAGCTTTCTACGCAAAAAAAATAGAAATACTAGAAGATCCCTTGATGAAGGAAACAACGTAAGTTGTGACACTGGAAGACGGCACAAGACACAAGTAGTCATATCTCTAGAAATCACTGAATCCACCAATGAAATAATCAAAGATAAACATGCTCATGCTCATATTCACTAACTTAAATTCCCAAAACTGTAAAAGAATACAGAAGAAGCAGATTTAGAACAACATATCTCATATCACTTCAAAAGAAGGAATCGACCATCAGACACAAATTGAAATATGGGGTTATATCTCCTTCCACGGATAGGGATCTTCACACGAATTAGAGTTGGCAATGTTTTCTTTCAAATTATAGTGATCTTACCCAGACTTTGTTCTTGCCATGACAGCCCCATAAAATTAGTTTAGTTTAACCCAAAAAGAGGATGATTTTCATTCAATCTCAAATATTGACAGTTTTGGTCTACTTCCGAAATGCCTGCTGTCTTAAGTGACAATACTTATCTTCAGTAACCTGGGATTTCCCCTTCCTCTAACTCCTCGTCTCTCAAGAAGTTATCACCAAAATATGGGGGATTATCTGTTACTATTTCATTCCCTCCACTATAAACACCATCCAAACACAGAAAATCATCAGGATCTATTTCCCCCATAAGGTTCAAATATGCATCTTTGATTTCCTGCTGGAAATCAAATTTATCATCCTGAGAAAGATTCTCTGGAATTACATCAGTCGGATGGTCCTTGGTTTCTGCACTAGCAGCCTGATGCTTCTCGGTAGGAAAAGGTTCTAAAGTTTTGGTTGCTACCACTTGCATTGACCTATCTTGGTGATAACCTTCTTCCGCAGATCTAATATCATCCTTATTAATCTGAGAATGACGGGAAGACTGAGAAGTTCTGCAATGCTTAAGATCCATAACCTGCGTGTCCAAAGGCATCTCACCCTCTTCAAATTTCTCTTCCCTGAACAAAATACCCTTTGGGCTTGGGATACCACTGGCAGAAACTGGAGCTTCTTCACTCCTAGAAATCGACTTTGCATCTTTCTCAACTTCAAAATCATACTTATGTGAAGGAAGAAAAACATATATCACAGGGTACTCCACAATCACAGTGTTCTGCAATTGTTGACCTATGGGAGCTCTGATGTTCAGCTTACGGTATGGTGACTTGGTTCCCTGTGAAGAAGAACAAACAAAAAAAAGATAAAACTTTCACATATTGGTTAAGAATTACCATCACTGATCACAGCACTGAGAATCTGAGATTGCAATACCTTTGCATTCTTCCGAATGAAAAAACTCAAATCATCCAAACTTATATCACAAAATTGCCTCAGCTGATTATTCCATGGGCTAGGTGCTAGATGTTTCTCAATTACAGAAGAAATGCTTCCATATTCATCTACACTGAAAAAAAACATCAAGTCTCAGTTTACAATTTTTAAGAAATATTAGAGCATGGAAGTTAAAATTCCAAAGTAAAGCAATCATGACTCAATATGATATCCAAAAATTGTTGTTCTATTGATGCCATCTGAAAATTTGCAGATACTACCAACTAAAGAGACTCCTCTTTGGATCCAAGAAGACCCTGATGGCCCTAATCAATCAAAAACAAAACAAAAAAAATGTTGAACTCACCCATGGTCAAATAAGACAACATCCGTCGAATGAAATCTCCACTCCACAGTCCAATAAATACAATTATTCCTGAACAAAAAAGAAATTGGAAAATTATGGTGACATTCCAATATCAGCTAGTAAATTCAGATTCTGATAGAAAATTCCAGTAGATAATTATCCAAGACATGCAAAGGACTAACATACTTCAAGATCATTTATAAATAACAAAAAAAATCAAATCAAATAGCCATACTAAGAGTCACTTATTTGACCAATAATTCATTCCCCACATGGTATATGTAAAGGAAACAAAGGTAAGCAAATATATAATTTACCATCTCAGTTATGCAAACAAGGACAACAATCATAGACTCCATAAGATGCATAACCAAACTGAAATTAAAACTTTCAGCCACTATCATTCTCTGAGGAACTATATCACTACTTACAGTATAATTCCTATTCTTTATGCCAGCTGATAACTTTAACTCCCTCTCCTGTTAGTCTAAACAATCATGTCCTAAGCCATGAATAGGCGTAGATTAATGCATATAATATATTTACTTCTGATTGTAGCGGGACTGGTTTTTGTCTCTCTTGGACATGCCAAGTGGGAGGCTCAGCAGCCGAGTCCTCCGTCGATTTGCCGCATTCCTTAACATCCGAAGCCTCGTTGGCAGATGAAATCTGTAATTGCTCCCGAACCCAGTAATCAACCGATGAGCCGATTCCGTCACCCTCTTCGTCTCCTCCAACAAGTCGTAATCTTTACTCACCCAGGCGAATCGAAAAGGGAATAGAGACCAAGTTAGCGATGAAAGGAAAGGTTACAGAAGAATCAGAACCGAATCAGAGAAGAGGCATCGACCGGAGAATAGGAGCTTGTCATCGAATTGGGAGAGGGGCACGAACTCGGTTCGATTCCGCTTTCCGGTGCAGCTGGTGCGCTCCTTGTGAGATTTGACGCAGGGAAGGCTGCAAGTAAGGATCGAGCAACCGGGGCAACGGTACTTCCATGGATTCGAGCCACACTCCACGCAGAGAGAGGAACTTTTAGGGTTAGAGTTTGGAGGGGATTCCGGTCCGCCCATAGCAGATGTCGTAGCAGAGAGCAGTTCGAGGGCTTTTAGGGTTCCTCCTTGGGGTTTTATGGAAGAAGCCGCCCGGGTTATTACGCGTCGTTGGAGCCCATGCGATTACAAAGCAGGTACGCTCTTGGGTATATGTGATAGGGTCTGTTATTTATTTCTGACTTCCGGATGATCCTGATTTGCTCGTATATACTACTCCTCGAGTACTCTTTAACATTGTGAGATAACTCTGTTTCACCCAATTAAAACACGCCGAGTCTCTTGTCTTGTCAGTTGACTACGTTAAATTAAATGCTCCGCAGGATCACGTTGCGCTATTTTTAAAGCACGCGCGGCCGGTTCTATTCTCCGTCCTTCATCTTCCCTCCCCTCCCCTCCGTCTTCCTCTCCAAGATGGCCGCCGCGTATCGTGCTCCGCCGCCCTGCTTAGCGTGCCCCGCTCCCGCGGCAAGGGGGACGGTGGCCTCCGTTCCTCCGTTCCGCCTCCGGAATTCGTTTCCACACGGGCTTCGTGGTCCGGGGATTCGAACCCCCTCGAGCTTTTCCTCGGTCTCTGTAGCAAGAAGGCGGGATGCTCGTAAGCTCTGCACCCCCGCTTAAAAAATTCGTTCTTTGTTGTGATCATTAGTAGACATATAATGGTGATGGTTTACATGCTCTTTTTCGTGCGAGTTCGAGATGGTATTGGCTGTATTCTTTTAAGTTTCAGTTTCTGTAGTATATGGAATTCGAAAGTTGATCTTTTTTTTATAATTAGGGTTTCCCATAATTTTGTTTTGGGGGGAAATGCAAAGATATGGCTGCATGCCATCACAATTTTGGAATGCATTGTCAATTTGATGCATTAGAAGTTGTGAACCAGAGTTGGCATCATCATCTGGGTGGGAAGCTGATGGATGCACAAGGTCGGAAAAGGGAATTGGAAGCCGCTGTATTGGATGTGGTTGATGACAACCATCTTTGCTTTCTTGTCCAGAACGTAACCGAGCTGTTTAGAGACAGAACCAACAAAGGCGGTAGAACTGGGATGTATCTAGGCAAAGGATTGATAACTAGGAAATGCTAAAATAGAAGAGTTGAACATTAATCACATCTTGAGGGGACAAGGCCAAATTGAATTTCTGTGATTTAGTAAATCTCGTATTTGAAAGAAATAAAAAATTATTAGCTTGCACTATGTTCAAGGAAAATCCATTTTTTTTCCACCCATGGTGTTGCTAAGATCCTCAAGTGAGAGCTTTGTATGAACTGAAGAACATTTCATATGCTCCACCTCGTATCCCATCAATGAAGATGTAATTGGGTACCAACTTTTTTTGTTTTGATATTAGTTGATTGGAAAATCATGTTGCTATAATTGGAACAGACATTAACCATCATATGATGAAAGATCATTTTGAAATGCTACCCTTTTCTTTGTTGTTGGTGTTATTATGTTCTATTTTAATTTACTATCTTGGAGGCACTCACATTGATTGGAGAAAACATTTGTATTTGCAGGTTTATATTTTTGCTAGTTTACTATAAATAGTGGTCGAAATACAAGAAAAATTAATTCAGTTTACACTTGAACTATCTTCAGACTTTGAATGCTGTAACTACATATGACCTGCTGTACCTGGTATACCCGGGATAGGATCAGAGGACATAGGTAAGCATATGTAAACCAATAACTGGCATTAGAGTTGGTGTTGTTATCTGTATTGCAAGTCAGAAATGGTTACCATCTTTCACCCGGTAGTTTCCATACATATCATAGCACCGGAAGAGTTTGCACAACTTGACATTTCTGTGATCAAAGCTGCTATGAACCTATTGTTTCCTTCCCCTGAGTTCATCTGACCTAATGTGTTCACATGAGAAGTGCCTCTTTTTAGGTCAAATTTCTTTGTCATCACTATTAACACCTGCATATCTAGTGCTCCTTTCCTATTTTTGGATATTTTTGTTTTCAATTGCTTAAGTAATTTAATCGACCTACTTAGGCCTCTGTCTTTACCTTTGTCCTCCCCATCCTTAAGTTACTTTATGTCATGGATGATTTATCACTTCTTATTTCTTCCAATGTTTTAGAAAACATAGGTCTTTCATATATGGACAGCTTTCCTTTGTCTTATGATACACCCCTGTGATACCTGGATAGGTATATTCAATTTGATTTTCTTTGCATCTACACTTGGGGTGTACTGTTATCGTCTTACTATTGACAACCCTATAATAAATTTGCCTACTAAAGATGATTTGACTGCTAAATGTGAGCTGATTGAACAATACTGGCTGTCTATTTAGCTTTCTCAGTAATCGTCATGACATGGAAGGAGCAAAAAGGGAAAATTAATAATAGTATTAAAATGTTGGGAACCAATGTGTTCTTGTACATCTTATAGGATGCTCCAATGAGGCATCATACACCGGCTTAACTAGCAAATTCCTATTCATTTTATGAAGCTGATGCTGTGGAACTTTTTAGCGTCGCTGTGACCATTATTGCCGACACCTATAAGTCAAAGGTCATTTGTTTTGGTTTATAATTAGCAAGTATATTCAGTGACAATGCTACCACCTTTCAGTTGGCATTTCTAATAATTGATTTATCTCGTTCATTTTAATAGCTGAAACAATCACTGCATCTGCCTGGGACGTCACTGTTCTTCAAAACGGTTTGCCTGTTCTCGTCGAATTTTGGGCATCATGGTGTGGACCGTGCAAGATGGTCGACCGCTTGCTCGACGAAATAGCACGAGACTACGCTGGAAGAATCAAAATTTACAAGCTGGATGCAGATGACTATCCACAAATTGCAGATTTTGAAGGCATCGATCGAGTCCCCACAGTTCTGCTGTTCAAGAATGGGGAGAAGCTGAAGAGTTTAACTGGTACAATGCCCAAGTCTCTGTATGTGGAAGCAATTGAGCAGTTGTTATCTCACTGAGGAATGCAAAGATGCATAGCTCAAGCTGGATTTATTTGTTTGTATGTAGTAATGTATTCTTATACTTCCCTAGCAACATTCAAGCGAGAACAAAAGGAGAAGCATAATAAGCTATTGGTGTTTCAATTTTTGCTAGGATACTAGATGAAAACAAGGCTTGTATTTTGAGTTCCCTGAAGAACTTGTAATTTGATGTGATTTAAGAATTCCTACTGATTTGATTATTTCTCGTGATTAGAATTACTGTTTGAAAGTGAAATTGATGAACCCTGAAACACATGTAAAACAGCACAATCTCGGCTATTTTGCTAATGTATGCAGTTTCGTCTGATCTGATGCTTCCCATTTTTTTGCCTTTCTGAAGGAATTTTGTCAAACTTATTAAACTACTATCAATTGCACATATTAAGATAAAGAAGGATTAATTTTGTGATTAGAGGTTTAATTTTTCCTCCTCTATATATATATATATATATATATATATATAGTCCAAGGAAACACTCACAGAAGATACCAAAAAAATCACAAAATTAATTCAAGAGATAAGAAGCATTTGTATAGATAAATAAAGCAACAGTGTCTCTCACGTGGAAATAGATTTTGTCTAAGCCCTTCTCTTTATTCACTTCAAGACAGACGATAAGCAGAAAGGACGCAGAACAAGGTAGAAGAAGACCGGACTGAACAAAGGACAACCACGGGTACGATAGGATGTGCTACTTAGAAGCACCGCGTACAGAGAGAAGAGCAAGCATGCTTTGCTACGCGGTGGCCGGCCGGCGGCACTTGCGAGCTCAACCTTTCATGCTGTTAAGCACCATCCTTATCTTCGCCGCCGAGCTGGATCCGGCCCAGGGCTTCAGGGGGTAGATGACCAGATCGCCGTCATGGCGGAGAGCCATGATGTACTTCTTCTGAGTAGAGAAGTAACCGGAGCCAAAGAGCCGGTGTTTGATGTTGTTAACCACGTAGCCGAGGTAGAGTTCCCCGTCCTTCCTCAGCTCCGCCATGCAGATGGCGTCCGATGGCATCTCTGTTTGCGTCTCCCACATGACCTGATTATTGCCACCCACTATTTTGAGGTTGCACTTGTTCTCGAGGACCAGCCTGTGTTCCCCGTACTGCAGGATGTTCATGTTCATGTTACCATTATGGGTGTAGGTTCTCAAGCCGACGGCGTCGCCTCCTTTGACCGTTTCAGTGCCATGGAGCTTCCCTCGCTCGGTCGGCGTCAGACCCCCGATCGAGGAGAACATCGCCGGGCCGTAGATGTTAGCGAACTCATTGGCGACTGCCAAGGCGTAGCGGCCCATGGGTGTGGGCATGGATGTGACGTTTCCGACGTTGCTGGGGAATCCGGCCGGCCACACGTTGATGGTTCCCCTGTTGTCCACCCAGAGCACGCAAGATTGGGAGCTCGTATGGGGCACACCACCGTATATGGTTTCAGGGTTTCTTGAGTGACGAAGGTCAAGGAGTATGCTGCAGTTGGCTCCCAGTGACAAGTCGTTTGCGCCGTCGTTGAGATGATGGCCGCTCCACATGCCCTGCAGCGACGGTTCGGAGTAGATGGAGTTCACGTAGCCCCATACTGCCGGGCTGTGGAGGAGGAGTAGGAGGCCGAATGTGGAGAAGAAGAGGGGGAGGAGATGGGCCATTGGGGTGAGTTGATTCTTGCCGTCTGTGTTCTCAGCTTGCCTTGCGGCGGTCTGTCTTCCCCATTGCTGATCCTTTTATATGCGACTCATTCTTTTACTGTCTGCCTCACCGAAACCATAAAAGATGAATTTGACGAGCAAGAAAATGGCGACCGCTAACTTGCATGCATGACAAATTACGTGTCCTTAAAAGTCTTGATATCCGTAAGGAACCATATCATCACTAATAAGATTCCTAGGTTTTCATTCCAAAGCAACAACATGAAAGAGAAAGACTATTACTCCTCCTCGGACGGTCATGCATTTGTTTACTCGTCATATCCATGTCCCTATGATTTTGGCTGGCATCATAGGTAAGGACGCATCACATGAATACGTGTTCCTTATCGTCACTACAAACTGATCTGGATGAAACGAGTCTCGCATATTCTCGAAGCATTGAGTTTGCAGTGACAGAATACAGAATGAGCGGAGGAGGAACTGAGAAGATTGTAATGAGAGAGGAAGAGGATGATCAATATGAAACCAAGACCAGTGCAGTGTCTACAAAATATTCACAGCCGTCAATATTAATTGATGTCTTTTCCACTCCAGAATTCAGATATGATGTTTTGGGTTCGGATATCAGAGGGACAAGAGATATGACAAGTAAACAAATGCACGCCGTCCGAAAATAAAAGCAGAGAGAAGACAGTCATAGTGACAGTGAACAGAGAACCATCCTTATCGGACTGGAACATTCAAACCGGAGACAAGAAGGAAGAAGATGCCCATATATAGAGAGAGATTTGGGGTGGCAAGTGTTGAACTAAGAAGCACAAAGGTTTTGAGCCATCTTTACGTGCTCGATCAATGGCAACGCCAACTCTTGTCATGACTTCCTTGCTCCTCCTCCTCCTCTTCCTCGTCTTCCTCCCAGCCTTCTCAGACACCGACGTCGCCCTCTTCTCTGATGCCCAAGCCACACTCTCCACCGGCCAAATTCTGGCGAACGGCGAAAACAGGGTGACCGTAAACAATGACTGTCAGCTTGACCTGAGATGCGCCGATGGCTCGAGGTGGACGTCGATGCGACGCGAGGCCAACACCAAATGCAACGCCCGGATCAATAAGAGGGGGGAGGTGATCATTAGAACTGAGGACGGCCGGGTCGTCGACGTGCTCGGCGACGTGGGGGATGTTGGGAGCTACGCCCTCGTCCTCACCCCCGAAGGCCATCTCAAAACATTCGGCCCCACCATCTGGGCCGGTGATCTTATAGCCACCGCCGCCACCTCCGCACCCTACCATTGCAGCAGGCTGGGTTCCGAAGCCGACCCGGGCTACATCTTATACTCGTCAGACCGTTCCATCGATGTCCCGGAATCGGGGACGTTGCTCAAGAACGACAAGTACAGGCTGATCCTAGACTCCAGCGACTGCGACCTCAGCGTCATCAACGAGGAGAGCCGTCCCCACCACCTGAAGGTGGTGAACCGAGTTCAGACGACCAGAGACAGCACCACCACCTGCGAGGTTAAGCTGACGCCCGAAGGCGAGCTGCTTACGGCACTCTACACCGTGAACCCCGAGAAGTACGGCATAGATCCGGTGTGGCATCGTGTGTTTGGCACTGGTGTGACGACCGTCCAGCCCACGGGGTTCATCGCTGCACTCTTGGACACCGGCGAGCTCCGGATTTACCCGCTCAAATCGCGAATCGACTCGAATTCGGGAGCGAGCGGTGTCTGAGTCGGCCCTGCGCGAGCTACCTACTTTATCGCTTCATCAATCTACCACGTATGTGTAAGTTTGTGTTTGGTGATCGCCCGCGTTCATGCATGGTAAGCCGCCGATAGGCGTCGAGTGGCCTCCTCCTCCTCTTCCATGGTACGTACTAGTAATAAAAGAGGGGCCTTCAGTATGCATGTTTCTGCGGTTAGTCTACGCTAAGTAACGTCAACCTCTTACCATGCAATCCCACCTTCATCATTACTTACCGAGAATTATATGGACGAATTTTTTTTCCAAAACACTCTTAGTTTTTTTTATTATTATTTTCACTTCATTACAGAATACCTAAAATCTAACATAATTAAAGAAGCTCAATTAAATGAATCAATTTGTTGCCACGCTCGAAATGATGCAATCAACTCAATATATAGATATAGTGTGGTTTCTTGAACGATTACTACCTCCATGGTTTCTTGTGCTGAGTCCAATCGCTAACAACGCTATGGCGAACAGAACCATCACTTGCATCAGTTGAGGTGCCCAACTCTGCTTGCGGAAAAGGTTTGAGCCTTCTATCCCATGTACAACTTCTCACAGAGGAGAAGCGAACACAACAAGGCAACAAGCAGAAGCATCAAAGGGATTGAAGACGGAGGCATGCTGCGGACCTTTCTTCAAATAGTTGAAATTAGATAAAATAAAAAGATTTATATTTATATTTAAATAAATAGATGAGGTAAAAGATTTATTGGGATATGATAGATTTTCTTATTATTTTTTTAAAAAAATTATATTTTTATTTTTTAGTCAATATAAATAAGTGCTTTGGATTAATCAAAATCATTGCAAGTTGAATGTACTCCTAATTTTTTCTATTATTCCTTTCTCATTCTCACTAAGTTCTATAGAAAAGTCATGGTTCGAAGAAGATCAAAATATCTACATCGATTAAAAAGAAAAGACTAGTAGATCAAAAAAAAAAAAAAAGCAAGAAGATGGTAAGCATTGGAGTGAGTGTTCCTAATCAACTTCTTCCTATTTTTTAAAATTATCAATTTTAGGCTGTTAAGATTATAACTTTATTTATCTCACAAGGATTATGGAATTTAATAGAATATGGTTTTATTAAGTATAATCTATAGGATCCTAATATTACTAAAGATAAAAAAATCAAATAAATATAAATATACAGAATGATGCAAGAGCTCTCTATATGCTACAACAAGCAATTGATGATACCCTATTTCCTGAATCATGATGGCATCAACATTAATAAAAGCTTAAAACATATTAAAAAATAATTTGGAGCCACCAAAAAAATGTAAAATTTTTAAAACTTCAAATTCTTTGACATGAATTCAAAACTCTTATAATGAAATATTCTAAATCTATTATTGATTTCTTCTTAAAAGTTTTTTCTATTATGAACCAAGTGAGATCTTATAATGAAAATCTAAATGATCAAACTATAGTAGAAAAGATTTTACAAAGTTTATCTCTAAAATTGGATATGATTTATATTGTTATCGAAGAAGCTAAAGATACAAGTATATTATCTATTGATGAATTAATTGACTCCTTTTTAATTAATGAAAACAAGTAAACATATTTTCATATGAAACTTTAGAACATGTTCCAATAGATTAAAAAAAAACTAAAAAAATTAAAAATTAGATCTCAAGGGAAAGGTCAAAATGGTGAAGGTTGAAGGTTGTGAACAATCTAACGCTCAAGACAAAGGACGAGATCAATCAGATAAGAGTAAGAGAAACTCTAATGAAGGTAACAAAGAAACTCATCAATGTTTTTGTTGCAAAAAAATGTAATATATTAAAAAAGATTATTTGTACAAAAATAAAAATCTAAATGTTTCTCTATGCATTTATTATAAAAAAAATATGATCATCTTGAAAAAGATTATTAGAATAAAAATTAAATAAATTATCATGAGAAAAATAATAATAAAAAAGGATGAATAAAATATTTTCTTTATAGCATCTGATGAAAAATATTCTATATCACAATCATATGACATAGGATAAAAGTTTATTCCAAATATTTAATGATTCAATCAGATTTATATAGTGTAGATAGGAAATAAAAATAAGGTTCAAATAGAAGATAAAGGATCAGTTGTTATGAACATCAAATCTAGTAAAAAATTCATTGATCATATGATTTTTATTTCTGGTTTAAAACAAAATCTCACTAGTATAGAGCAACTAATGAGAAAAAGATATTATACTATTTTTTATGACAAAAAATACTTGATTTATAATAAGAAAATAAAAAAATTGATAACGATTGTGAGGATGACAAAAAATAAAGTGTTTCTCTTATTATTTTTGGATTTCTTGTTTCATGCTACTATTAATGATAAATCGATATTATGGCAGAAAAGCTATCATCATTTGAATTTTTATGGATCTATACAAACTATCTCATTTATCTCAAATGATGAATCCTACAAAATTAGTTAATGAAAAGTTATGATGAGAGCGATCACGAGTCATAATTCAAGAAGCAAAAATTTTCTGATTTTGTTCCATCTATCACTAGTAAATCTATTATAAAAACTGCCAAAAAGGAGAGCACCTGATAAAGATATGGATGGCAGTTTTGAAGAAAGTTTTGATGATGAACATTTAAACGATGATGAACATTCGGTTACTCGGATTGCATCTATGACTATGCAAGCCATGGGTATATGTTTAGGGGAAGCAGGAGGAGATCACGTCATTTAGGGCTGTAGAGTAGCGGAATACTTGCACTGGACATCTGTAATCTGGCTGGCGAACACATAGGACTGATTTCATTGCTGATGATTACATAGGAGTGGCACCATTAGTGGCATTCTGAGCATATTAAACATTCAGGTCAAGTCCACATCTGCTCTCCTACAAATTTGGGAATTTTTATTTGACTCAAGGCCAAGTCTATCCATCAACAGATTTTGAGTTTGTATTGACCCAAGACCAGTTGCACCAGCGGGCCATGATGCCCTGTCAAGTGTCACCTTAGCCCATGATCATGACTCTATGGCACAAACCAGTACAGTTCATCTGTACAAGCATTCACAAGGCTGAACAAGCTGAACCATTTGAATGATTGCTCTTCAACATTCTTTGATGGATTTAAATGCACTGCATGATCAAATTGGGTGACAAGAACCACAAAATCCACATGATGAAGCCCTCTTAAACTTCGGCATACAATATACAATCAACCAATTGAATGATCAAGACTACAATCAAGTTACTCGAGACAAAACAAAAAGGCACAAACAAACCAGGCCGTATCGTTGTATACTCTAGTATTACTGCTGCCAGAATTTAACAGCCTAATTTGCTGGAAGAAGGTGGGAACAAAGAACCACTGAGTACTCATCTTATGGCAGCCCATGAATATAATTATTATGATCTTACGCATACACATCTCAAGCAAATCCAACATAACCCCAAACATTACCATACCAACACCAATAAACTGCCTCAACCAAAAGAAAAAGAGGAATTGAACCAAGAAACTCAGAAGCACTTCCTGTGAACAATAGAGGGGCCAGATTCTTCATACTCCTGCTTGGAAATCCACATCTGTTGCATCAAAATGCAAACATTCAGTGTCAGAACAAGTTGCAATATAAAAAGAAGAAATCGGTCCATAGAGACAACTGCCATTGAACATTAAAAAGATGCAAGTATCGAACTACCTGTTGAAAAGTGCTAAGTGAGGCAAGAATAGAGCCTCCAATCCAGACACTGTACTTCCGCTCAGGTGGGGCTACCACCTTAATCTTCATGCTGCTTGGGGCAAGGGCCGTGATTTCTTTGCTCATTCGATCAGCAATTCCAGAGAACATTGTGGAACCACCACTGAGAACTATATTTCCGTACAGGTCCTTCCTAATATCCACGTCACACTTCATAATAGAGTTGTAAGTGGTCTCATGGATGCCAGCAGCTTCCATACCAATCATGGATGGCTGGAAGAGAACTTCTGGACACCTGAATCTCTCAGCACCAATTGTAATCACTTGTCCATCAGGAAGCTCGTAGTTCTTTTCCACAGTGGAGCTGCTCTTGGCAGTCTCCAGCTCCTGTTCATAATCTAAGGCAACATAAGCAAGTTTCTCCTTAATGTCCCTGACAATTTCCCGCTCGGCAGTGGTCGTGAATGAATAGCCTCTCTCGGTAAGGATCTTCATCAAAGCATCAGTCAGATCACGACCAGCCAGATCTAGACGAAGGATGGCATGTGGGAGAGCATAGCCTTCATAAATTGGGACGGTGTGGCTGACCCCGTCACCAGAATCCAGCACAATACCTTTTATGGAACAAATGCAACACATTAGCTGTCGAATTATATCAGAGACGATGATAAACAAAGCAGCACATACCAGTTGTACGACCACTGGCATACAGGGAAAGAACAGCCTGAATTGCGACATACATGGCGGGTACATTGAAAGTTTCAAACATGATTTGTGTCATTTTCTCTCTGTTGGCCTTGGGATTGAGAGGAGCTTCCGTAAGCAATATAGGGTGTTCCTCCGGAGCAACACGGAGCTCATTGAAGAAGGTGTGATGCCAGATTTTCTCCATGTCATCCCAATTGCTAACTATACCATGCTCGATTGGATACTTCAAAGTAAGGATACCTCTCTTCGACTGTGCCTCATCACCAACATAGGCATCCTTCTGGCCCATCCCAACCATGACACCGGTGTGCCGAGGCCGACCTACAATGCTAGGAAACACAGCCCTAGGTGCATCATCTCCAGCAAAACCAGCCTGCATGATGAACATTATACACTTGTATACTATCCTGTCTGAGCATACAGGAAAAAAATAGAATCTGGACAGAATATCTGACCTTGACCATTCCAGTACCATTATCACAGACTAGAGGCTGGATTTCTTCGGAATCAGCCATTTCTTTATGAACTGCAAAAAATGTTGCTGTGAGAAGGATCAAATTTTCAAACATATTATTGACAGTCTTTTTGTCTGCATATTTTGTAGATAATCTTATTACCACTGTCCTGTCTTTTTTATTCATTAGTAATTACAGATTTAGCAAAACATTGATTACTCAAAAGGAGCAACTAAAGATGTTTCCGACACATCCAAGGAGCAACAAAATTTGAACTCATAAAAGCTTCCAAGCAAGATTATGTTTCAGCTCAAACTTCTAAACCATAATAACTAATATGGTATGCTCAGAAATTGCACAGATGATATGAACATCACAGGTCACAGGCTAACAGTACAATCATCCAACTGATGTCAGTACGCAACAACACCGATGGCTAATATAACGATCTAAAAGCCGTTTCCCTTCAAGAACAAATTCATGGAACAACAATCTCCGATCATTAGACATATCACAATGTCCATAAATCTCAAACTCACGTTTTTGGTAATCCATTTAAACAAGGGGCTATCACATTTCTCGGGATATGGTTGATCAATGATTTTGCCAGTATCTAATCCAGTAAATTCCAGGTACACTCTATAAATATGTCGTCATATACATAGCGCATACAAAGACTTGAAAGAAGCAGATGAATCATGAAAACAGGAGCCAGATGCTTGGGCACAACAATCACTCGCAATCCTTATACAACCCCCCTCAAGATCTTACCGCCGATCGCCCTAAGAACAAAATAAAACCTCAAATTGCAAATGATTTTTGACCGAGCTGCTACTTACAGATCACGACACGAAAAAACAGAGAACTTTCACACTTCAAGACTTGACAACTGCTGAGATCGGTCTTCAATGAGGAATATATATAGAAACAACAGACTATCGGAAGACAAGAGTAGATCCACGAACCTTAGTGATGGCGGAGGGGAGGCGATCGGACGGCGGCCGAAGTCGCGGTGCTCTCTGGAGGGAAGGAAACGGGGGACGAAAGGGAGGTGCGAGGGCGAGGGGTTTTATATAGTACACTAAAAGTTTCAAACACAGAGAGAGAGAGAGAGAGAGAGAGAGAGAA